TTTGGTGGGTCAGTCTAGTAAACTTGCCTACAACAAGCACCCATTTGTTGCACTAGGTTGTCGGCAAACAACCTTGACAAGTGAGATCAGCCACTGTTGTTCGATAGGGTCGTTCAACACTATGATAGCATTACCGTATTATATGTGCCCTTGGTCAGAATAATACTAGGGCTACGACATTTCTAGAATGGCCACCATACGTGATCATAGGGTTCTCACTATCAAGATTTGAAACACTTGATACCCTCATCACGGTTCTACCATCCTAAGGATATGTATCAATACATACAATATGATTTACACGATATAGAATAAAATGTTTTTTATTGATCAATGAACATTATTACAAATAGTTAATTCTACAATAATTGATTGGCTCTAAGGCACCTACTCTAACACTAAGGTATGATAAGAAGTCATAACAAAAAACAAAGTGCATTTTTCTCAGTTGGTACGATTGTGTAGGATGAAGGAACTACATTTTTTGTCTCACAAAGTTGCCTAGATGCACATTCCTCTCAGCACGTCAACATTCCACATGATCGTGCATGCTTTTATAAAAAATGAAGTCCAGTCGTTCTCGATAGCATGACCAAGCAGCAGCCCGTTCCATCCAAGTCAAAAGTCAAAGTTCTCAGAATTCAAACATTTCGCCCCTTTGACGAATCTTGGAAGACAAGCCTTGAAGATCAAGAGAAAGTTCGTGTATATAAAGTGGAATGACCATTCCCCGTGGTGGAATGATTGTTCACACTCAAAGATCGTTCTTGGTTGAAAATCATCGTTCTAGGAAGCCATGCATGCTTCTGGAATTTTTATGGATTTATAAGGAGCCAATGGACCGACCGTTCCCCATGGTGAAATGACAATTCGTGATGGTGGTACGACTATTCGTGATAGTGGAATGATCATTCCAAAAACCCTAAAAGTTGTACGAATTGACCATTGGTGTCAAGAACGACCGTTCGTGATGGTGGAATGCCCGTTCATCTGTGTTTGCAAGCTTTTCAGAGTTGCATTAAATGCAACAACAGCTCTTTACTTTAAAGAGAAGATATGAGCAATAAATAGAGCATTTTATTGCTAAGAAAGACAAAGAGAGAATATAAGAGATACAAAGTCATATCAAAACATTCTTACATAATCCCTTGAGCTAAAAATCCAAATCAAATCATCACTCTCTTGTATTCATTTGAAAAACATTTGAGAGTATTGTTTTTGTTGTGCGTTCAAGTCCAATTTTACCAAGCAATCTTTGACATACTTTATTCAAACATCTTGTTGATGAATTTGTAAATCTAGAGGCAAAATCCTGTTCAAGCTATTGTAAAGAGGCAAAATCTTGTCAAACTAGTGTTTTGGCGCAATTAATTCTAGTGAAACTTCAAGAAGGTCCCTTGAAAAAGTGGATGTAGAAGGCTTGTGGATAGAGCTTCGAACCATATAAATCTTTGAGCATTTCTTCTCTCTCAACCAGTTATTGTTCTTGCATACTACTTGAAGCATCATTATCATTTGCACTCATTCATTGCTTATATTTATAACTCTCTCTCATTTATTGCTTAGGATTGCTCATTCTTATTGCTTGCATCATTCTCATTTATTTTCTATCTTTGTTGTGTTTTATGTTCATAACTTGTTTGGGTTGTGAAAGTTTTTTATTCTGCAATTATTTTTATAGATTCCTATTCACCCCCCCCCCCCCCCCGAAAGAATATTTGCCATACAGGGTTTTACATGAATGATATTCGAGGGGGTAGGCCTCTGCTTTTATAGCAAGGCATGACAGTTTCAGTCTTAGTAGAACTAGGAGTTTTATGGCTTATCTATTTAGAAGTTCAAGTATATGTGAAACTAGAATACCCTAGGAAGAGAGTTGTTGTAAGACTTAGAACCGCAAGGATTGATGAGAATCCTGATAAGACTAGGAATCAGTGGGTGTGAGATTTTATGTGGGACTTAGAACTCATTAAGTGTACAAGATCGTCTAAGACTAGGAGTCTTAGGTCGTTAGAAATCTTTGTAGAGCTAAGAGTCAACATTGAGCTAGTATTTTATGGAACTTATAACTCTTAAGGCATTAGGACCCTTTGTGGAGTTTAAGGTTGGATGAGCTCATGACCTTTGGCTAGCTCGCCTTGCATTTGAGCTCAGCCTGTCACAGAGATCCAACTCTCTAGGCAACCGAGGTCATGAAGTGGCTTCGTAGAGTAACTCAACTCGTGGAGTGTGAACACACTTGTAGAAAGGACCGACTACTTATAGATTGGATTAGCTCGTGGAGCGAACACTTCTTAAAAGGACTTCAACGTGAAACCAACCAGATTCAGGTTAAGATAGTTTTAAAGGAGCAATCGGAGTTAAACCAAGGCTCTGGTCCGTAATGACGGTGTAGGCCAATTGAAGTTGGGTCAAGGTACTAGGCCGTATAATGATTATAATGTTACTAGGCCGTCAGAGGTCTAGTGTGATTTTTTACCCATACAAAATACATTTGTAAGATCTCAATTCTATTCTAATTAAATATGAGCCATTACATTTGGGTTGGAGTCCAAATAATCAATTATTTGATTTATTTAATTAGTCTAATTGGGCAATCCAGAGCGCGTTTAGTATTGTTGTAGCTTAAGAGCAAAAAAAGTGTTTAGTCAACTTTTAAAATAAATTAAGTTTTAAGTTGATTATAAGTTAATTAGTAGTTTTTTTTTTTTTTTTTTTTTTTTTTTAAGATTCCAACAGTTAGTACGGATAGCTTTTAAAAATCAGATTATTTTTAAAGCTAATTTTACATTGTAAAATGACAAATATACTCATGTGTAATTCCTCAAATTACAAAATTAATTTAATAAGCATTTAATTTATTAAATAAATAATTTCATAAATTTATTTTTAAATTTAAAAAATTAAATAGGAGTGGTTCAACGCTGGTCAAAGGTGGCGCATTAGTGTCACATCCAATCCTAATGAGATCGAAACTTTTTATCTGTGATATCGATTTTGGCCGCAAAAGGCAGTCGAATCTTTTGCCTTTTTCTAGGACTAAAATCAACATTGGAATCCTTTTGATCAGTTTTTTAAAAGGATTCCAAAAGCTAGTACAATTAGCTTTCAAAAATTAGATTATTTTTAAAGCTAATTTGACATTATAAAATGACAAATATACCCATACGTAATTCCTCAAATTACAAAATTAATTTAAATAAGCATTTAATTTATTAAATAAATAATTTCATGATTTTATTTATAAATTAAAAAAAAAATTGAATAATAGTGATTCGACATTGGTCAAAGCTGGCGCATTAGTGTCACATCCAGTCTTGATGGGATCGAAACTTTTGATCTGTGACGTCGATTTTGGTCGCAGAAGGTAGCCGAATCTTTCGCCTTTTTCTACAACTAAAATTAACTTCGAAATCCGATGATTTTGATATATCAGTGTCTGTCGATTCTAGTAAGACCGATTGTGGCACTAACACGTCACCTTTGATGGGGACTTTGACAACAAGTCAACCATCGTCGACTGATGGTTGACTTTCATAGACCGATGCCAACCATTCAACTATATTTTTGAATTTTTTAAATGATCAATTTGAATAATTTATTTAATATTTATTAAATACTTTTATAAAATGAAAATTATAATTATAAAAATTATTATATGAAATAAAGTGTCTTTTTAGTTCATTATAAATGCAACAGTAATTTCAAAATCTAAAAAATTAATTAAACTGAGTAATCCCAAATAGACCTGGCAAAACACTACCCGTACCCACGGGTAAACGGGTATCCGTACCCAACGGACGGGTACGGATAGACCATCATTCAACCTGTAAAAACTGACCTGTACCCAGTCTGCCCATGAAAATAACGGGCGGACCGGGTGATACCCACGGGCACCCGCATTTTACTTTTAAAAAAATTCAAAAACCGAAAAACATTTCTCTCTCATGCTGCTCAACCATCACCCATCATTACTCATTAAACTCCACGACACCCTTCTTTTTCTCTCTCTTTCTTCGTTAATGCCTCTGCGAGTTTCGTCATCTTCCATTAAACTCCACCAGTCCACCTCTCTTTTTCTCTCTCTTTCTTCATCAATCCTCCTTCTTTCTTACAGCTCCTAGCCCACGCACAATTTTTCAGCCATCTCTGATCTCTGTCACACAACATGCAACCATCTCTCCAGTCGGCAGTCGCCCATTTCGCCATTTCTCCTTCACGCAGCCATCCTGCACACCGACGCCCAGCCATTTCTCTTAATCACAAAATTTCGAGTTCTCTTGCTGCCGTCTCTGATCTCTCTCATGCAGCCACCTCACCCAAAACCAGAACCCTCACGCCCAATCTAAAACCTGCAAAACCCAATATTTGACACCAAACCAAAATTTACGGCAGTGAGTTCTAGGGTTTTGTTTTTTTTGTTTCGGTTAGTTCAATTTTGTTTATTGAAATGTGGGAGACCATTCAGAATTGGATGAGTTTTACTATTATGAGATTATCGCTTGTGGGATGCTTTTATTATTTGTTGATTTGAAGTTTTTTCTTATCGGTTATGTATATCTATTGCCCATTTAGGAATAATTTATTAAATTATTGTATATTTTAGTTGGTCTTGTTGAATTAATGTTTATGCTGCTAAATTTGATAATTGAGAAAAAACAAAAATCATTTTATGTGGGTAACCCGCGGGTTGACACGTGCCCGTACGGGTGGGTGCGGGTCATGCATATGGGTATCCGTACAAAAAAAATTAGTCGTGGACCCGTGCTCGTTTCACTCATGACCCATTGTTACCCGGCTTGTACTCATCCGACCCACCCGTTTGCAAGGTCTAATCCCAAAGTAGCCTTTAACCCTCTAATCGAATAATGAAGGTAGGACGAATCGACGAAGAGATATAATTGATACAGTTTTAAAATTCAAGGGTTATTTTGTGAAATTTTTTTTTTGCAAAAAATATCATCTGGACAGAATTTTAAGAAGGGTGTGAAGTGTGTGGACCCCGACTGAAGACTGACAATCTAATTCTTTCTGCCAAAAACAAAAACAAAATTAAAAATAAGCAAAGCAAAAGCCATAATATGATGATTGATGAATAACAATAAGATGATGATGATGATGCCTTTAACCAAAGGCTTATTAATCTTGGCAGTTTCATTGGCGCTTACTTTCGCAACTATCTCTGCAAGTCACGGAGTCTTCAGCGTCAAGTACAGATACGCTGGCCGTGAACCCTCACTCACTCTCCTCAAACAACACGACTCTCGCCGCCAGCTCCGAATTCTCGCCGGCGTCGATCTTCCTTTGGGCGGTACCAGTCGCCCCGATGGCGTCGGGTATTTTTTTTCTTCTATTTTTCAACTTTTTTTTATTTTTAACTTTTTTATTATTTTATTTTTAATTTTATATTTTAACTGTAGGCTTTATTATGCTAAAATTGGAATTGGAACACCTTCAAAGGACTATTATGTTCAAGTTGATACAGGAAGTGACATTATGTGGGTTAATTGCATTGAATGCAAAGAATGTCCCAGAAGAAGCTCTCTTGGTGTATGCTGCTTCTTCTCTCTCTCTCTCTCTCTCTCTCTTTTTTTTTTTTTTTAATATAATTTATTTGTTTTGTCTTCATTATTGAGATCATAAAATATTGTATTTTACTGTTTGTGTTTTACCAGATTGAGCTTACTCTGTATGATATAAAGGAGTCTTCCACTGGGAAGTTGGTTTCATGTGATGAGGAATTTTGCTATGAGATGTATTCAGGTTCATTAACTGGCTGTATGGCTAATGTGTCTTGTCCTTATCTTGAGCTATATGGAGATGGAAGCTCAACCGCTGGGTACTTTGTATCGGACGTTGTACAGTATGATCGAGTTTCGGGAGATCTCCAAACTACAGCTACTAATGGAAGCATTATATTTGGGTGTGTTGTTCTTCTGCTTTTTTTTTTTTTTCTTTTTTCTTAATCTCTATAATTGTGTGAACATTTGTATTTCCAGTATTTTTTTTTTTTTTTTCTTTTTTCTTAATCTCTATAATTGTGTGAACATTTGTATTTCCAGTACAATACAAGATATTTACTTGAATGCACAATGACATAGATTAAGGAAAAGATCACATTAGTTTTTCTGTTGCTGTTTAATAGTTGGAGTATTGCTGTTGGTTTTGACCTTGAGTTATATGCATTCTGTAACTCTGCTTCTAAGATTGTCAGTATTATGAGAATTTAAAATCTCATAGTTAATTGATGATGCATGTATGTATCTAGATATCTGAGACTAATGATTTCCTTTTTCATATCTGTTTAAAGTTGTGGTGCTAGACAATCTGGGGATCTAGATTCATCTAATGAAGAAGCACTTGATGGAATACTTGGCTTTGGAAAATCTAATTCATCGTTGATTTCCCAACTGTCTTCATCTGGAAGGGTGAGAAAGATGTTTGCTCACTGCTTAGATGGAATAAATGGAGGTGGTATCTTTGCTATTGGGCATGTTGTCCAACCAGTAGTTAACATGACTCCATTAATACCGAATCAGTGAGTGTTGTCTTCAGTGAAAAATACTATTCTTTTTGCTTTGATTGTTCATATTTAGGACTTCTAAGTTATTTTTGTATTATTAAGTTTGTTGATCAGATTCAGTTTTGTTTTCAACATAATAGGTTCTGCAATTCTAATTGTTCATTTGGATGAAAATGGTCACATGGTTTTTTACAATCTGTCGTTCTTATTTGGGATGAAAGATCGTTTTCCCTTTGGAAAAAGAAGAATTCCTTCTAAGAGGCTTTATCAATAAAACAAGACTCGTAGATGACATAGAAATATTAATTTTCAACTCTGTTGTTATCATGATCTGTTACTAACTACGGTTGCATGCTCCAACAATAAAGATTGATTTTATGATGTCATGCTAGAATAGGATTGCTCATATATGGTCTTGGTTTCTTGAGAATGGCAGAACCTTCTTTTCTGGTATGTCCATTCTCATATTTCTGGTGCTATGTGTTATTCACTATTTCTACTTTGTAGATCATTCATTGTTCGGCATTAGATTTTCTTCTTAGTCTAAATTTTAGGGCATGAAATGCCATCTATTAAGCTGTATCTTGTGATAAAACTGTTTTAGGCCACATTACAGCATCAATATGACGGCAGTTCAAGTTGGTCTTCATTTCCTAAATCTTACAACTGATGTGTTTGGAGTAGGAGACAGAAAAGGGACAATAATAGATAGTGGCACAACCTTGGCCTATCTTCCGCAAATGATTTACGAGCCATTAATAAGTAACGTATGTGATATAAAGGTTATGATACTTTGGAGAATGTCACTGGGAAATACCTGCTTACATGTTCTATATTTCATTTATAGATAATCTCTCAGCAGCCCGATTTGAAAGTCCATACGGTTCATGATGAGTATACATGCTTTCAATATTCTGAAAGGTATGGTGAGTTATATGTAGGATATTTTTAATATGAAACCTATAAAATTTTAGCTCTGAGGAACTCTATCTTTATGTCATATTCTGAAAGTATACTCCTGGAAAATGTGAATGTATATTTTATTTCCTGTCATTTTGATTGTGTCAATCATCTTAGGATATCTTTCTGGAAATTATGTCCATGGAAAAATGTGAATGTATATTTTATTTTTTATCATTTTGATTGTGTCAATTATCTAAGGATATGTTGGGCACCAGACATAACTTGGGACTTATTCAGTGATTCATGTTCTATTCTTAATATTTGTTCTGTACTTTGTTGGTGTTAAGTGAAATGGTTATATGTTTAATTGTCAATCTTTCTTTCTATTGACCAATGCTATTAAGTTAAATGGTAAATTTCTTGCTTAAGAAGGACAAGGAAAGCATTTCTGTGTGACTCTAGCATGGAATATTTGATTATATTTCTCAAAGAGAAGACAAATTTTTTAAGATAGAATTACTGTAATTGGACACTCTTTTTTTATTACTTACTACTTGTTTCATGTTGAACAGGTTTGTGTTTAAATATCTTCAGGTTCAATGGTTAAATGTGTTTAAAATACTTCAGTAGAAAATATGCTAAACTAAATGGCTGGTATTTTATTTTTCTGATAGAGATGTTAATTTTATCATCTTGCTAGTGATGCTGTTCGAGTTCATTAATTACTGATTCTGAATCCATGTTCTTTGTTACTTTTTATCCTATTTCTATTTGGCTTGATATATTTGGATGTATCACTGGTGAACTGATTATAAATTACAATGACATTGTATTATCTATTTTCAATATAAATTCCATGTATTGGGTCACAGTAGTTTAACTTGTATACATTTCTTCCTTTCTCCTTTGCAGTGTTGATGAGGCATTTCCAAATGTTACTTTCCATTTTGAAAATTCTGTTTTTCTGAAGGTTTATCCACACGAGTACCTATTTCCCTTTGTAAGTCTTGAGCTATGGAAATTTATATAGTACCTTTTTGTTGATATGTTGTATAATTGTATTTTAGCTTGCATGCTGTCTGTCTCTTGAATATCGTGCAATAAAACATTTTATCAATCTTATTCTTGTGAATAACTCCAACCTTTCGATATTTTGTAAGTCATCATGGCAATGACTTTTCTTGGTGGTTAAGTTGTGTGTTTGAATATGAAAACTTCTTAATTAAATGTCAAAGCTTCATATATTTTCAGATATTCCTCACAAAATTTACGTAAGGATTCTGCACAAAAGATGATTAAGTACGAGGATAGAACTTTTCAGCGAAACAAAGTTGCAAACTTCAATTGCTTAGTGTAGTTGCCTTCTAGTTGGATGTAGTGCCAAATATTTTTTAGTTAGTGCCATGAATATATTGACATGTGAGTGTTGTTTCTTTCCTGGCTATTAATCTTTTCCCTTAATGCAACCTATTTCCCTCCCTTGCACTTCAGATTATTTGTTGCAAAGATAAGGCGCTAAAATAGGGGTACATGAATGGTTTCAAAGCATGAATTGATAGACTTTAAGTATGATCATATTATTATTATTTTGGGAGAAGAATAGAGGAAAATAGACTTTAGTTGTTCCAAAAAATATTTTGGATCTGCTCCATCATCGACCTTTTCGAGCTGTCCATGTTGTTCAATAGTCCAACTAATTTGTGGAGTTGAGTGGTCCTCCATTCTGGGCAATAGCCCAAGGATTTTTTTAATTTATTTCAAATATACTTATAATGATTTCTGTCAGGTCTTGTTATGTTTTGCTAGCAAGGTCATCCATACTGTTACAGTGCCCATTTTGGTTTTATCATCAGAACACCAGATTATTCATAAGTTCAGAGGGATGATTACTCACTGTAGTTTGTAGATAGTTGGTAAGAACTTGTCCATGTACTTTATCTACATCTTGGATTTAAGCCAGCTTGAAATTTGAAGACCCATTCTCTTTAAACCCACAATTCTGGGAAGTTGACAAGAAGAGAGCCCGGGTTAAGTTGTGGCTCCATTGAGTTAATCAAGACATTGCCATAACATTGTGATCGTTGCAGAAATTTGTCCATTCAATTTATGTGTGATAATCTTAATGACGGACTGTCTGAAACACCCTTAAAATGTGATTGACGGGGGGGTAGGCTAGAGCTAATGTCCTGAGTGACTTCGGGCATGCTTTCATAAAATAATTGATTAAACTCAGAGAAATATCAAACTCCTCTGTCAGCAATGAAGGCTAGCCAAGATAGTGCAGAGCCAAACCTGTGATTTATGCTGAAAAAGGAAACTGAGAGAATACCGTCAACCAGAAAACCAGAGCACAGTGGCAAAGGAAAATATATTAAAATAAAACCAGAAAACATCATTGGCCAAAGGTAGAAGACATCAAAAACACAGAGAAGCTTCTGGCCAACCAGAGAACGCTTGAAAAATAATACACAGCCTCTGGTGACAAGATACTGAGAACCTCTAACTGGCCTTTGACACCATGTGCCCTTCTGAGAATAGGTTTCTATTTCCTTAAGAAAATTTTACAAAACAGGATTCCTAGATACAATCCAGGAAATCAAGGGGAAAAATCTGTACAGAAATGAGGAAATAGATGAACTAGGAAACTATCTAAATACTAGTTAACCTAGAATCAAGAAATTAAATCAAATTTGTTGGTTGACTTTCACATTTTGTTGTAGTTTTGTTTTTGCACTGGCCATTCCTTAACTTATATGCTTCTCGATATAAATGAATAATCTCATTCAATAATGTGGGGTTTTGCAGGAGGGCTTGTGGTGTATAGGTTGGCAAAACAGTGGAATGCAATCTAGGGACAGGAAGAACATGACACTTCTGGGAGGTATACTGCAGAACTTGTATATATTGCTGTTAAGCTCAAGCTGTATAATCATTTTCTGAGTAATCACTGTTGTATTTATCTTGATGCATTTTATTTAGTACATAAACCTTTAACTTCAACCTCGCCAGAAATCCTTTGTTTTAGCATAATCCCAAGTCTCTTACGGACAGTAGGTGCACTTGTTTTCATCATTCAGAAGCACATCATAATTAAATCCTCATCAACGTCAATATGTTACTTGTCACTGCCTTTTCCTGCATTTTTATTGGCATCCAACTAGAGCCATTACAGTTTAACATGTGTACATTTGTAAGCTTTTGATGCATATACAATTTGAAGGGCAGTGGAAGGAGAAAGAAAAAGAAAAAATTGATTCTCTTGGTTGCATGTTCGTAGGATGATTTGTGCACTTATTCTCATAAATTTTTATCTGTTTTAATTTCCTTGCCCTGATTAAGTTCCTATTCAATCTAATGCTGCCACTTAATCAGGTGTACCAGAAATTAATTTATGGATAGACTGAACTAAAATTCGACATGCCTCATAATTATGAAAGAATTTTATTAGTGTGAAAAGAAAGATACAGTCTGAATTTAATGAATCTTATTGATAGTCAATATGTTATTTAAATCAAAATCCAAAGTATCCAAATTTATCATTGACAGTTGGTAATTATTTTGATCATACCTGTGAGGATTACTTCACATACGATGATGTTAACGCTATAAGCAACTTAAAACTCTTAATTGAATTACGGAATAATGTGATAAACTAAACATCAAAATTAGTAATTTTGAGATAGAGACTTTGTATGTATATATAGTATTATTGAAATTTTATATAATTAATAACAAATAGGTGTTTTAGTAATTAGGGAGTTAAAATGTTTATTAGGATTTGATCAATTGTATAAGTTTTGATCAATTGGGACAAAATCAAATGGATTGTGAGTTTTGACATGATTAGCATTGAATGGTTTCCTTTTATTTTTTGTCTTATTTTATGCGGAGTGCTACAAATTAAACCTTTTAATGTTTTAAATTATTCATTTATGTGATGGAATTATATGCTATTTAGAAAAGGGGGACACTCGGAAAATATGAGTATTTAGTAATTTTTCTACATAAACTACATTTTCTTTTTGAAATTTGGGCTAGCAGTTCCATTGCCTTTCCCATGTTAAGCTCATTAGTATTGCTTTGCTTGTTGTGAACTTGTTTCATAATAGCTCTACACTGTATAATAAAAAGCACAGCTTCCCTTAAAGCTCTTCAGAATTTTCTACCGTGCCTTAGTATGTATTTACAGTTCCACAACAGTCTCAATGTCTAGCTATGGGGAAATGATATATCATGAAGATGGATAAAATAATTGTCATGACTTTTTCTAGAAATTAATATTAAGTTAATATTTTAATGCTTTGCTAAGTTCCTGAACCCTGGACAATGCAATCACCACCTAGAAACATGTTAAAGATTCTTAGGGTCCGTTTGGTTGTTTATTTTGGATAAGATTTTGGGAATAGTATTGGGTAGTTGAATAGGGTGATTATTGCGAGGTAAAATTTAAAAATTAAAAAAAAAACTCCTTAGGTTTGCTAATTTAACTAAACACCCCAATATATAAAAATTTTGTAAAATGACAAAAACACTCCCACCCACCCACAGTGCCAGATTCCAGCCACCATCGCTGAAATCTGGTCGGAATTTGGCGTTATGACGCAGATCGGTTGGATCTGGCCGGTGCGTCGATTTGGCCTTTTCCGGCTAGATTTACGGCCAGATCTGGCCGTTGACGGCCGCAAAATGCCAGATCTGGGCGTCGGGGACGGCCAAAGATATGGTCGTCTTTGACCGTCAACGACGGCTAGATCAACTAATTACCGGCCAGTTTTGGTCGTTTTTACGCCATTGTGACAGATTCTGGCCACCACTGACGGTGGTTGCCGGAATCTGGCAACTATGGATGGGTGGGGGTGTTTTTGTTAATTTTTAAACTTTTTTTTCTGGGGGTGTTTAATTAAATTAATAAACCTAAGGGTCTAAAAGAATTAAATAAAATATATGAGTATTTCCTAAATAATGAAACAAACAGTTATTTTGGGAATAGGGTAGGAAATAAAGAACCAAACGGACCCTTAGATTCTGGAGTCATAATGAATCATTCTTAAGCAATTGACTGCTGACTGGAATTTTTTGAGTATGAGTTATAATTCTCAAATGCTAGTTGACCTGATAAATAATAATTTTTCTGCAGCCATAAAATAGGTGATTTGTTATTTTTGAAAAAAGAAAAAGAAAAGAAAAGTATTTTGTGACTGCCTTCCACTCCTTATTCTGTTGTTCTTTTCCTTGCAGATTTAGTGCTGTCAAATAAGCTAGTTCTTTATGATCTTGAAAATCAGGTTATTGGATGGACTGAATATAATTGTGAGTATTATATTATTTCTTATTATAATTCCTTTTTCAGTATTTTGGTTCATTTCAATATTGCAAGTTGCATCAGTCTCAAGAGTTATTTTTCATTGCTTTTATGTTTGTATTGTTAATATTATTTGTAGTATGTAAGTTTGTGTCGTATTCTTGTGCTGTGTATATCAAATTGTTGTAATAATCTAGTTGAGCACTGTTATTCTTTCATGCTACTGTGCATTTTAAATCAAAGGGAAAACACTGAAACTTTCTGTGATTCTCAGGCACAGAGAAACGTAAGGAAATTTTTCTTAAAAATTCTTGTTCATCATGATACAATATAGTCAAGGATAGATGATTCAAGTATGATGCTTGATAGAATTAATATATAAAATACCTGTAGCTAATACTCAAATCTGCTGAAACTAAAACAACAGTGACCCTTTTAGAAAATAATACATTGTCCTTGAATTTCCTCTAATTACTGTTCACGTTGTAAAATCACAAATGTTATGGGTCACATGGCTAAAACCTTTTCAATCTTGATAAATGAAATAACTCTTATCTTTAGAACAGTTTTCAAAGCACTTATGAATCTTCTCTCCAATATACTCACTATCTGAGTTACATTTGCTTTCGGAGTAAGAGTTTAAGTCAAGCCATATTTTTATAAAGGAAAAAGGATATAAAATTTATATTGTATGATAGCAAGAACAGATTGATGTTATGAAAGTGCTTTGAAGAGTCCCCTGGTCGAGTAATAGATAATATAAGAAATGCTACTTGTCTCTTCTTCATCTAAAGAGAACTATATTTGGTTAATGTGATTTTTGGTCAATTTCCTAGTTACAAGCCTTTACATGATCATAGCTATAGTTCTTTCCCGAATATCATAGTTATAGCCTCTACAAACCCTTTTTTTCTTCTAATATATGCTGTTTTAGTAGCCAAAGAGGTGGTGTAGTGTATAATTATGAAGAGGGGATTGTTGTAAAAGTATATTTGGAAAAAAGCCTATGGCCATGCCAATTGGAAGTTTCTATTTCCTCCTTAAGGCCAAAGGCTTTTGGAAGAAATGGAGAAGTTGAGACCGGGTTTTTTTTTACCATCCACTAATTTTTCCAATTTTATAAATGGTTGTTTGAGAAAACATCTCCGGACATACAGAGGAATACACGAAGGAGATCCTCTTTTTCAGTTTCTTTTAAATTTTTTGGTGGTGGATTGAGTAGATTAAATGATGAAGAAGTTGAAGCTAAGCTGAAATTTTAGAGTTTCATAGTGGGATTAATTCATTGGAGGAGAATTGGCAATTAAATTTGGCTCATCTGTTGGCCTCACAAATATATTGGTCTTACAATGCTCGTGGATTTTGCTTGAGTAATATTTTATCTGAATTAGTTTTGCTATATTAGATAGAGTTAATGACTGTAATCCCCTTGAAGTATGATACAATAACAAAAGTTCTCTTGAGGTTTTTCGAAATAATAGAAATTCCCCTGCGGTTAATGAGATGTTAAAATTTATACTGGTATGAGTTAGTAAAGATTATCAAATTGCTCTCCTACCATCTATTTTAACACCTAAAACTCAATGGTAAAGAGATTTCTGCTATTTCCGAAGCCGCAGGGAAAATTTTGTTATTATGTTATACCTTCGGGGATTAATGTTAGAGTAATGTTATGTGTACTAACCAATTTGTACTAATCTAAGTACTAACATTGAAAATTTGAATTTTTTTTTTGGAGGGAATTTCAAATTTTTAATGTTAATACTTGGATTGGTATAAATTGGTTAGTGCACATAGTTTTATTCTTAATGTTATTAACTCTATTATATAGTTATTAATAGGACAAAACCCATAAACAACACATTGGCTTTCAAGTGGAGAAATAAATCCAATGCACACAGCATAATTATTAAAAATTAAAGATCCATATTTAAGTGATTATGTTAATAATTTGGAGAAATATCTCATTTGCACTTGTTCCTTTTTGTTTAATAATTTCTTCATAATGGCAAGGAATTTTCTCAAAAGCAAAAATGGGAAAAATAAAAAAAAAAGTGTATGCAGTTTTTTGTGGCCGTGTTCATAGATCAAAGTTTTGGAATGGAAAGAATACTGTGTTCAAAGATTTCCTCAAATTATACTACTAATTGAAATGTTCATGCTGTATAAATGCTGGATCTTCTCCTTCCCTTCTGTGACCTCTAAATGGTTTATTTCAGGCTCTTCAAGCATTAAAGTGAAGGATGAACGGACAGGAACAGTACATTTGATTGGCTCCCACTATCTTTCTTCTGATTCCATTTTAAATAGCCAACGGGGTACAATCTTATTATTATTAACTATGCTGCTGCACTTACTAATAGACCAAATATAATGCAAGATATCAGGAGTCAACTCAGAGTAAAGAAAAAGTTGAATATAAAAGAAGATGCAATTTCAAGGGGTTAATTGATGAAATAGTGCATTAAGTAATTCGTCAGTTGTGTATATAGGTTCATGCCTAACAAAACAAGCTAGGATGAACTTGTACTAGACATTCACTGTGAGCTTAATTTTTTGTTCCTGTATTGATCCAGTGAACATTTACAAAAGATTACAACCAGCTTCCTCTTTTAGTGTACTTGGTTTTAGATTTTCATTTCAATTTTTGCTTAGGTACTGGTGGAAGTGTAATTAATTTTTTATTACATTGAATGAATATGTACATCTATTTATACACGTTATATTCTATGGCCCTTTTATTTTTTGTTTTTCGTGTGTGTGGGTGTTCTAGGGCTAAACCAGAGTTACCTAGGACTTATGAGAATTTGGAATTTCCTGTTATATAAGCACCCAAAAGCTTGAGAGAATGGGATAGGCTGTTTCATAACCTTTGCTAGTAGGGGTGTATACAAGCTGAGCCGAGCCGAGTATCTGGACACTCGAGCTTGGTTTGTGATGAATAGTGTCGAGCTCGAGTTCGAGCCGAGCTCGTTCGAGCTTGAGTATGGGTGGATACTCGAGCTCGAGCTTCGAGTTTATTGTGAGAAGGGGGCTGTTTGTCATTTTAAAAACTTGAAAATAAAAAAAACTTACAATTTGGCCCTTCGAGCACAATGAGACTCGTGAGCCTATCGAGGCAAGCTTCACTCTGATCGAACTCGGCTTGATCCCTTAAACGAGCCACTCGAGCTCGAGCTCGACTCCAAGTCAATCGAGTCGAACCTGAGCTTTTCACGAGTCGAGCTCGAGTAGTTGGCGAATTGCTCAGCTCGCTTCTCATCCCTTACTTGCTAGTGGTCTAAAGCCAAACCAAATGGGAGCAATCAATCATGGAACACAATAAATTAGGTTATGACACCTTATTAGGTATAAGCATACTATAATAAGTTTGTCAAGAAAAAGCTATGTTTGATACCTTATTAGACATCTCCTAGAGCAACACTTATGTTATTTGGTGGAATCTGGAATCCAAATATGCTATGTGACCATGTGAATGTAGACAGATTAACTATTGGCTTTTGATATCACTTCTTAATAGTGGGAAGTAGATGTATCAAGAAGACTACATGAAAAGACCTTATTTGTTTGAATTAGATATCACCAATGTATACAGAAGTGTAAGCTAGTGGATTTTGCTTGCACCAGGGTTGGTGGTTTTGTTTACATTTGGGGGTGGGGATAAGGGTAAATTTTTAGATAAGAAGATAATAATCAGAAAATTTTTACATGTGAATCATTTATTTTGTTCACTATCCTCCCAATGTAGAATGTCACCACTTATAATTTGACCTTAAATATATGAATATCTCAAATTCGACAAAGAGCATATATGACAGTGATACATATATTCATGATTGCTGGATATGTACCGATGTGTGTGTATATTTATGTTGTCTTAGATGCAGTTGATTTGTTTTCAGATTGTAACATTTTCTTTTTTTATTAACTTAAATGAATTAACTGTGCTAGCATATCTGTCATCTTTACTTTAAGTGAGAGTGATTCCCTTCAATATGATCAGAACATAACACATAAACCCTTATCATTTTCAGGCATCTATATTCCTGTTTACTATTATGTGTAATCTTAATATTTTAATTTCCCAATGGAGTTGAGAATTTTGATTGAATATGTTTCCATGACTACAACTTTTAGTTTGAACTTTGGATTCAAACTTTTGGTGTTTCAATATTGAATGCATATCTAGCCTTTGTGCCTGATATTAATTCAATTCAATTCACTTGGCAATGACAAATCTCTCACCATGGAAAAAGAAATTGAAAGTCTGTAGACAAATTTTATCATGATGGTTTTTCCAGAGCATTTTTGCACTCTATAATTAATTTACAGTATAATTTGGTTAGGGCTCTTATTCGAGAGTAGTCAGTAGGTCATTATTATATATATATATACACACACTTTTCTTTCAAATGAATGGTAAGTTCCTGATAGTTATAGTAAAATATTGACTGCTATCGGTTTTATAAGTTACTACAAAGCTGCCTGACCATTTGTGTAAAATCTATATGTGGCATTTATATAATTGATTACAGGTTTTGCTTACTTGTCCTCTAGGGCATGCATCATTCCGAGGGTGACTCACTCATAGGAACATAATTCATTATCATTCAGCCTTGCCTTGTAAATGTTTCTAATCTGGTATGGGAGGAGGATCAGCTGGATTTCTAGAATTACTTACCTTACCTAGAACTTGTCCAGGGTGAAAATTTTCCTTAAACATCAAATCATCTTTACCTGGAATCTCATGAATGAGCTATGCGGTGCACACAATCCTGCTTTGAGTATCAACCAAGTTGTTGCTAACAAGATGACTAAAACAGTGTTATTCACCAAAGATGTGTTCTGTATTCACTTTTTTGAATGTCATTGTTATTTTGAAATTTTATTTTCTTCTGGTTGATTGATTGTAGAGAAGCCAAACTTGTTGAAACTTGATGACTAAACTTGACAGCCATGATTCTTTTAGGGGAGGCCCTGCTAAGAGTAAGGAATGATGAAAATTATTTTACTCCACATCCTCTGTTATTTCCTTTTTCATGGATAAAAGAACTAAGAAAATGATGTATATATTAAGCAGAAGGAAAGATTACATGGCTTACCTCACTGCAGTGTATACAAAAATTATCTGTAGCTCTTGACTGATTATTAAATGAATAATGTTATACCTACAATTGAGTCATACAATCAGGCATACAAACAGACAAAAATTTCGCAAAATTCATGTAAAATGATTACTATGTCCTATGTTTTTTACTTATTTGTATGTCTGGTAATATTACTCAATTGTAAGCATAGCATTATTTTTACCAAATTTTGTTGTGACCATGCACACAAATAAGTTTATTAGGGAGAGTGAACATGATTCAAAAGCTTTTTATGAGATCCAAGAAAAATATTTTATTCTGTTCATTGTAGCAAAATAAATTAGCAACTAAAAATGTTGTATGAACAATTTAGGGTATCAGAGGTTATCCTAGAATTAAATTGCATTGGTATAATCATATTTTTTATATTTTAATGAGTTTAAGTTGTGCTCTTAAGGATTAGTTTTAAAATATATTTTATTTTTAATTTTAACTTTCCCTTAAAGGTCATTGAATGCATTAGTGTCGTGGAGGTAAGAGCATGTTAGCACATTCTTGGGAGTCACTCACTAACCATTCTTTTATATATTTTGGAAAGAATTGCTAAAACATAATATCTTTATCAGTTTCGACATCAGTAGTAATTGTATTTATTATCATCTTTATATATTAGGTAAATTTTGAGAATTCTATTATTTTTAATGATTGAAAAAAGAAATCCTCTTGTGAGTAGTCTATTCGATTGAATTGTTTTAAAAATCTGAGTGTTGTGGAAATTGATAAATATGGCCATTTTTTAGGGGTTAATTCACCAAATTAACTGCTTAAATGTGCTCTCTACATTTGACCACCAAATTAGATTGATGGTCAAAATAGCCTGACCTCCTCTCTTATTTTTCATTTACAATTATCAGTCCTATCCAGTAACTTTAACAATTTGTAGTGGGATAGATCTCATCTCTTAAAGATTAGTACTGATTATTCATTTCTTTTTTATTGTATTTAATGGATTGTAGGTAGCAAATATACATTTCATAGTTTAGGAAACCTAAAGTTCTTAGATTTGGTGCAATGTTGTTGGCATTTTAGATTGTGAAATACATGAAAAATAACATATTTGGTTGTCGATGTGGTTTTGTACCTAGCATGATGACATATAGTGCATATTTAGTTAAAAATTTAGGTTCTAAATCATAACAGAAACAATTCTATACCTAGTTGAAAGAAAAGATTTTCACCACCTTTTATCAATCTTTATTTTATTTTATTTTTTCATTTTTCTGTTTCCCTTGATTTATTTTGAATTATTTGTTCTGCCTTTTTTTAATTATTGTAATAAATTGTTAGTATAGAAATTTCCTGGTTAGGCAATAGTAGAACTTTGGAGAATCACACAAGAAAAAAACTCTGTTAAGTGAAAAAAGATTCAAGAAGATGTGTGGATTTCACAACCTCCATTGTTTTATGGGACAGAATATGGTTATCGGAATGGTTGTATGAGAGAGGCTTTATATAGTGTTTAGGATGGTAATAAATCAGTTGATAATCCAAGAAACGAAACGAATAAATTGTGATAATATTTGTTGGATAGATATTTTATTACCAGGATATACCGCTCATCAGTTTCCTTTGCATGTCCTGGTTTTACATGATCCTAGTCATTCTTGGTATATATATTCTATGCAAACCATTCATATGAATTGAGATGGATTGTTTGAATTTATAGTGGACATATATACCAAAAGAGAATTCGACACTCAAAATTGTGGAGGATAGTCTCATGACTTACAACATATATGCATGAAATTGTGATTATTGTCACAATCAAAATGCAAAACCTTGGTGAGAAGGCTTGTCAAATGACTTTGCTTAGTCAAGTAATACCCATATAACCTCAAATATATTCCTTACAAATGCGTGAAACACATGCAATCTAAAACTCTTTTTTCTCTATGAATCTGTTGCCATTATTGAGACATCAATTAATACTTGAGAAGAGATGAGTATCACTCGCACTGGAAAGACCAGGTAGTGAGGTGCATGGCATATTTGTTATGAGAATAATTGAAAGAAAAAATTTGCAAAGGTGCCAATGGCAACCCACTATTTACAACACAATCATTTGATGATATCACTTTCAGGAATCTGGGATTCACTAGAGCTTGAGAAAAGTTTCCACATTCCAAGTGAATATTAATAATTGGGCACATTGGACACTTATTTTGCACTTGAGCCTTATACTTTGGAGGATTACCCAATTCCACCTGTGTCTGCGTCAATGTTGGGGCATTGCTAATGCCACTGCACTTTTCTCCCCTGCACAAACCTGCAATGAGGAATAATAAGCTAATTAACAAGGCATTAAATTTCTCAAACGAGTGAGTGAGAGTGACAGACCAATATGGTTTTGGAGAGAGGCAAATGCGAGAAAACTCCAGAGAAGAAGCTTGAAAGATTTTTGAGTATGCATTTTCAGGTCGAGGCAATGAGGAAAAATGAGTTTTGTGGTTGTGGGAAGAAGCAAATATTATCACAAAGTCACATGCAAAAGAACTTTCCTCACATGGGTCAAGTCAGAACCAGACACTGCCTGCCCTACCAACCATCACCTCTCTGAGCGTTTTACCCTGC